ATATCGCTGCTCACAAATCATTCAACCTCATCCGGCCTACGGAGTATCGTCCCCTCTCTTTCCGATGGAGTCTTCAGTCTTGCTTAACCCCTCCGCTGAGGTCCGCCTATGTACTCCGTACTAATGCACCTTGGCAGCTTGATCCCTCGGCGCCCAAGTGGGTTCTTTCGATAGAGTTGCAACCTCTGAATACCTTAAGCTAAGCAGTACATGAACGACACCATCACGAGCATGTTACTACAGATTGCGCACACATCATTGCCAGACCTGACATGGCGGCATCTGTCATACCTACTCTCGACGCTGGGAAACGTTCCAACCTTGAACCATCCTACTCCGGGGTTAGCTCCGCCGGCGGGTACAAAGTAACGGAGGTTGGAAACGTGGGAACCCCCGATGCCGGGCATGGCATTGTCTACTCCCGTCGGCCCCTTCCCCATGTTACGCCAATGCTCATCTCTGACATAGCGAGGTCCAAACGGATTCACCCACCTCAGTCTATGGATAGTGTAGGTAGCAACGCAGCATCTGACATGTCACTGTCACTGTCCCTGACGGAGCCTTATTCGTTTCTTTTTTTCAACTTCTGACACCGGCTTTCCACAACTTCCAGAGGCCCCCTACTTTTCAAATTCCTTCCAACAACTTCTAAGCAGAACCCCGGAGGCTCAGTTCCCACACCGCTGCGTCTGTCTACACCACACCATGGCAGAATCCTGCGCGACGTCATGCCTACGATATCTTTCCTTCGCATAACATGTGCGGCACAGCTACGCCCTCGTATGGCAATGGCATGTTATGGCGTGGCTTGGGCCTATGACATTTGCTCTTCCAACTGCCACTTTCAATGTGCCTCATCCTGATGGCTTTTTCTCGCCCAACTATCGACCAACCCAGTCGGCCTTAATACAACACCACGCGGCTGCTCTCCAGATTTTCCGATCTGACCCCACTTACTAATGCCATGAACAGCAGACCCCGAGGGTACCGCCAACCTGGTCGTCCCCAGGTTTCTTTCTGGAAAGTGTTAGTCACTAGCAGCATCTTCTTTTTTCCCTCAGGACCAAGACGGCACGTTGAGGGCTTTTTGACTAGACTGGCTGGCCCATTGGCTCCTTACCCTGCCTTACCCTGGCTCTCCTCGTTCTGATCGGCGAGGCCCCGCGCAAAGGGCCTGCCTGCAGACCGGAGCCGACCGTCGACTGCTTGACCCCTGGTCACGGATTGAGTGCGTCTGCTTCCAAAACATCCGGATCAAACAGGAGAAACAGCTCGCCTATCGATGCAGCTATCCCAATGCAATGGCTCGATTGATAACAGCGTCCCCTACTTCTCGGTGTGATCATCCTGGTTGGCTGTGAGAACGGCAAGTTTTGCCGTCTCATCATGCGGTTTGCTCATGGACAATCGGCAAAAGGCACCAGGGAGTCTTCCCCTGCGTCACAGCTCACACTCTCTCCGCGGCGAGGGACTTCTGAGAAATGCGAGTATCAAACACAAGCATATCGTGCGACTTGACAAAAATATCCAAGCTAGACAAGTGGCCTTCGCTTGAGCAACGACAAACAGAGCAGCCTTTGCTCTGATTCTAAGAGAAGTAGTAGCAAGAGTGCTCGTGAATGATCGCATAATACGGATATGATGATGCTGATTACACGGCTATGCTTTGGAGAGACAGTACCTCTCATCGCAATGCTCAGACACTACTCACTTTCTCTCTTTCCTGTTCGCGACAGCTTTTACAAAGCGTCCCCTCTGCTACTATTGATGGAATGCCGCACCTGAGCAGTACCAAGACGCCGCACAAATTCTCGTCACATCATGGTACCATATGCTCAGTAGCCTCAGTCTCGCGATTCACTTGCCTTTGTATCCCTATTCCGACCATGTGGCTCCTTCGAGGACGACACACGGCCTTAGAAGCAGACGTTAGTGATCCGGGATGATACAGCTTGGTCAGAAGCCTTCAGACAAGCTGCCGGGCTGTTTTCGAGTTCAAACTTGCGGCAACGAACGCGAGAAGTTCAAACAGCGTCTACCTCGATCATCAACTGAGGTATCACCAGGGAATGAGTCTTTCATCACTATGAGCTGCGGCGTGGTCTTTCAGAGCAATCATACATATGGAATTACATAAACAGGGGTCAGCTAAACATCATACACGCGGACAAGCTTGCGTCTTCAAAAAGTCAACCCGGACCTCCTTCTCCCCTCCCAAAGCAAGATCAAAGCTCGTGCTCCAGCCGCTCGTCGCAAGCTGCACCTGCGCCTGGAAGAGCGCGTATCCACTCTCCTCGTCGCCCGTCGCCACGAGCTCGACGCTCTCGACGTCGAGCCTCCTGTGAATCGCCTCGGAACGCCGCACGAGACGCACAACGTCCATTGTCACGGGGTCCGCCGCGCGCTCCTTGAGCACCGCAGCAGTCACGGTGAAGGTGCGCTCGTTATTCACGCTCGTCCGGTTGACGCACGAGGAGGCTTCTTGGTAGACCAGCGAGTCGTCTAGCGGGAACCCGCTGCCGTTGTTCTTGTACACGGATGTAGCGTTGCTCGAGGGCGTCGTCAGGTGGACAAGGAAGCTGCTTATACCGCTCGCTGCGCTGATGGCCGTCTCGAACTGGTACCATGCGAACGTCTCGCCCCAGAGGCCGTACGTGGCGCCCCCATCGTCGAGCGTCGCGGGGACGACGGCGGAACCCTCGCCTCCTCGGTCTGCAAAGCTCAGATGGACGGCCAAATCGCCCGTGTCCCGCCCCGCCCCCTCCGTCGTTCTCACGCGCACCCAGCCGCTGAACGCAAGGCTCCCATTGCCGCTCAGGGCCAGCGTGACGTAGGGCTTTATATCGACGGGCTCGACGGGCTCCGTCAACTGCACCGCCGACGGCACGGTGTCAATCATGCGCGTAAAGACGTCGGCGCACGCCGTCCTGAACCCGTTCTTGGTACACCCCAGGTCCCTGATCGTCTTGTTCCCGTCCGACGAGAAGATGTGCTTGTCCGAGTTGAGCGTCTCGTTCCGCCCGACCACCAACGGGTTTGACGTATTCCCCCGGACGTACTCGGTCGCGATCCGGTTATCAAAGTCGTCAAACGTACTATCAAACTTGGTCACCGTGTCCGGGCTCGGATCGAGACCCGTAATGTGCGGGTTATTCCGGCTATGCACGCCGCCGAGAGTATGTCCGCACGCCACGAGCGAAATCATCTCTCCCTGGCTGAACCCGGCTTTCGCAAACGTCGCCAGCGTCGTGTTAATCGGCGTCTGCGGCTCCGGCACGCCCGCGGGGCCCGCCACCGTAGCGTCCACCCGGCCCGCGCGGAAGGGCATCCTCGCACCGCCGCAGCCCGCGTTGGCGACGACGACGCTCATGGCGAGCAAATCGGCCGCGGAGGCGCGGATCGAGTAGAGGTTGCTGAAGAAGTTGAAGGTGTTGTTGAAGGCCGCGCCGCCGTTCTCGGCGCGGCCGACCTCGAACCAGATGGAGCCGTCTAGGCCGCCCGTTCCCGCGGCGGCGTCGGTGGTGGCGACGTCGTGGAAGGCGGTGCGGATCCACTCGGCGGCGAACTGGCGGCCGGCTATGTTGCCGCCAAAGGAGCATGGGGTCACGCCTGGAGAGTGTGTGTTTGTGTTAGATAGAGTAGAGAGTGTATTACGGGGGGAACAAGAGGGGGCCTTGGCGTATATCACGAACCTTCGACGAAGCCCCTGCTGCGGTATCCCGTCTGCAACGAGAGGATGTCTTCAATCTCGTCGTACTTTGAAGGCCAGACGTACGCGGCTCCCACGCCATGCGACAGCGCGGCGATGCCGCCGATGACGGGAACGACAAGTCCACCGCCTCTCATTGTCGGGGCAGGTTCCAAGTGTTACCTCGAAACGAGCGTTTTGATCAAAGGAGAAGGAAAGTTAATTAATAAAAAAAACGAGAGAACGATGGCAGGCATCCCAGGAAGTAAACCCACGTCGCACGCGCGAGATTTGTACCGGATGTTCCTTTATAAATCCCCATCACCGCATTGGACCCTTTGCGGTTTTTGCCCAGGGTGTCTCTTTTTTTATTGACTCCATTACGTGGAAGAGGGTCAATTGGTTTTCCTTCCCACTCGGGGAACGTTTTTTTTTTTTTTTTTTTGAGAGAGAGAGACTCCAGTATCGCCAAGACGTCAAAGAAACGGATCTACTTCGTACTGCATCGGATCCCTGGCCCAATGGAGCATCTCTGCCCGGACTCGTGGGTTCTGTTGGCGGCGCGGCAACGAATTGTCTGCAGTGCGAGATGCAGGTTCCAAAAAAACCCTCGCAGCTGAAAAGGTGTGGATAACGTCTGATAACTATTAACTAGTCTGTAGACTCGGCCGAGTCGGTCCTAGTTTCATCGTTCATGGCATCAGAGGCACCTTTGCCCCCAGAGGATAGGAGAGGAAGGCGAATAACCTTGAATCAGAGAACCCGGGATACGAGTGTGGGAGGATAGACCCGCGCGGAATGGCCGACAAACTGGCGGTATTATCAGATGTAAAAAATAAAAAAAAGTTATCTGATCGAACAGGGGGGGCTGTAATGTTAAACGTCCCCGCTACCTAGGCTCTTGCATTGTGGGGGGAGCAAAGCGCGGCCGCGAGTTGAGGGATTGAAGAAACGGGTAGGTACGTGATCCGGCTTGGCTTCATGATGGAGGACCTGTTGAGTCCATTTCGATCTTTCTGCTGTTTCTTCGTTCACGAGCGGGTGGTTGATGATAAAGGTAGGATTCCCATTCCTCTTCGACGGGGATGATGATGTGACTTTACGTTTCTATGAAGAGTGAACCTAACTCTCAGAGCTCGGATTTCTTATATTAAATTATTAGTTATATCTCAGAATGCAACGCTACTTCGCAGCATGACCCACTCACAACTACAACAACTCCTATTACCATGTCCCATCCTCGTCACAGGCCCCCCAGGCCCAACGATGGAAGTGCAACATCACTCCAACGTAGGTGGTCAAACACACATCTCTATCTCCCCTTATCAATCAACTTCCCCTCAAACCAAGCCGCAAACTTGACCGCGTTGGCATCCAAATACCTCTGCGTAAAGTCCGCCACGCACACCACGCCAGGCACGAAGAAACACGTCGCCAACAGCACCCCAAACGTAAACTGCCCGCTCGTCTCCGCCCCCGACAACCCCGTGAAGAACCGCACGAGGTGCCACCCGTACAGCCACAGCAGCGAGCCGTGGACGAGGTACAGCGCGTACGAGATGCGGCCCAGATACTGAATCACCCGGTTCGTGAAGAGCGGCTGCAGGAACGGGGCCCGGTCGACAGAGAAGACGAGCCAAGCGGACGCGAGCGGAATCCAGAGGTACTCGCCCTCGCCGTAGCGCTCCGGCGTGATGTCAACGAGCGTCTTGTACCCCGGCGAGAGGCCCGCCGTACCGGTGCCCTTTGGGTACGAGAGGAGCCAGAGCGCGCCAAGGAAGGAGAGGGTGCCGAGGAGCTTTTTGGATAGGCTGTAGGTTGGAGATGATGTGAGGGAGAAGCTTAACCTGGCGAAGCGGCCCTGTGGTCCAGGGACTGCTGCTGCCGTGTACGGTAGGGTGTCCCCCAGGGCGGGCAGCCAGTAGAAGTGCAGGTTCGCGAGGAGGAGCCCGGCGAGGAAGAGGAAGTACTGCCAGTAGTTGAAGTAGAGGGTGTACGCCACGAGGAAGACGTTCATGAGGAGCCTGACCCGCGTTCGCAACCTCGAAAAGGCGACGTGCGCGAGGAAGATGACCAGGGAGCAGTCAAACTCGATCGGTATCGTCCAGAGCGTAGGCTCGTACGGATATCCCTCGCCCCTCTGCAAGTTCCTCCCGAACGGATCCGACAGCCCGATGAGGTTCATCGCCCAGTCCCAGAGCTGATCATAGATGCGATCGAACTTTGGTGGCCGCAGCGCCGGCACGGCCACGCCCGACGTCGGGATCTCGAACCAGCCGAAATACGAAATCCACGCAATCACAAACGTCGTCACCGCGGGCGGGAGGAACAGGCGAATGTGCCGCCTAAAAGCCGACGATGCGGCCGCGGTGGCGAACTCGGCCGTCTTGTGCTGGCCGAGGAGCTTCAGGGGCTTGTAGCTCAGCGCAAAGCCGGAGATGACGAAGAAGACGCAGACGGACCAGAACCCGGAGATGACGAGGCGGATGATGGGCAGCTGGATGAACATGGGGTTGTCGTCGCTCATGAAGCCGCGGTGGATGTTCATGTTGGCTGTGACGAGGGACCAGTGGTGGCAGACGACGAAGAAGGCGGCTACGCCGCGGAGACCGTCTGTCATTGGGGGAGTTTCTTGTCAGTATTTGCTTTCATGACACCGGAAGACGATTTGGGGCAGAAACTTACCGAGCCATGCTGTGGGATGAAGTGGTTTCTGGACAGCGTTCGGATCCGAGGCCTTGAGGAAGCTTGGTATCAAGGCGTGGAAGACATTTCTGGGATATCGTAACCACACAGGCAACTGCCGCGCTCGAACATGTGTCCGAGGAACAACGGTATTGAAGTCGTCGTCGTGATCCACCAGCGGGATCTCCTCCTCTGCTTCATAGGCTTCCTTGCTCGGGGTGTCGAGGTCCAATGGGTCGATCCCCTCATCGTCATATGCGTTTGGCATGTGTCTCAAGTGGCAGTCGGCCTGTGATGCCATAGCATCACTCTCGATATCTCCAGACATGGCCTACGTTGTCCTCGGTCCTGCCAAGAAATTGAAGCTGCCGCGGGATGATTGTCCTTTTGGATCGACAGGAGAGAGAGAGAGAGAGAGAGAGAGAGAGAGAGAGGGAGTGGGAAACTAAGTATCGGCAAGCCATATGAACATGACCGGGCCGACACCACAACTTAAACCAGGCCGAAAGGGCAGTGCAGCGATTCATCGTGCCGCCATCGTTGCTCGTTTCCAAGTCTCCAACTCTGTCCTCTCGATACCCGATCTGAACAAGACCAGCCGGGCAAGGCTAGCGGTTTCCGCCAAGATCGTCGGCCTCTGGGACGAATCCGACGTCAATGAGGTCGTTCGTGAGGACGCATTGCGGATAGGATCGAAAGTCACGCGTGGAAGTGAGACAATTCGGCCAAGATCTCGCTCCTCGTGCCGGGAATTATGTGCAGGCGTCTCGGATATTGGCTGGCTTGGTGTCACCCAAGAAATGACGTAAGCTCCGTTTGCATCTATTCCGATGCATGTCGTCAACACGGCGAAGTCAGACTCCCGGAAAGGCGCTGCTGACAACTACGTATGTATGAGGGAATAAAACGAACATGAGCGCACCTTCTTCATCGTGCACGGCTTGAAAGGCGACGAGTACAAGCATTCCACGGGCACATGCTCCCCGCCACATTCATGGCTCTATGTTACATAAAACCGAAAGAAAAAAAAAAGGATGAGATTTGCTAGAAGACATGGATGACACTGCTTAAAAATGCAAAATGATAACTGTGAGATTCGAACTCACGCCTCTTGCGAGACCAGAATACTCATCCGTTGGACGGATGAAGCTTAGTAAGCTTGAGTCTGGCGCCTTAGACCGCTCGGCCAAGTTACCTTGTTGATCCTTCCGCCCAAAACAGCGTTGATGTAGGGCGGACGGTGATCGCCCCCACCTCCAACGATCCTACATGCCCACGCCAAACGTCAACGTCGAACCTCAAAGCTGACGCACGATGGTAGCGTTCGCACTCTCTGATGAACATTGGGTTGACTTCATTTGGTCTTTGACGTTTTTCAGTTGGTAATCCATTTCAAGTCGCAAACTGTGAACCCGAGTTGCTATAAATAAAGCATCAAAACGGATGATCAGTGGCGGTCCACATTCACACACACTCCAGCCGTAGCTTGTATTTTATCAGTATTCAAGCCTACGTACCACTAAACACCGTCGACCACCTTAGATTTCACTATAGATACACATTGAAGCCATGCTAGATTGTTTTTGAGATTGTTTTTGAGAGAGCTTTCAGGTTGGTTGTCAACCTGGACCATTCGAGGGAAGATCAAAAGCAGATTGAGCGAACAGCTGGTCCTTTAGTCCTGTGTATGTTTTGCTAGGACCGTATGTTGAGGTTTTCGATAAGGCATAGGACTAAACGGACTAAATGGAATCATGGTATCTTTGATAAGAAGTTTGGGATTTTGATAACTCTGGGATGTCTGAGAAACCACTGCCTGTTGAATGAACGTCGTGCATACGGTAAGTAAGTAGTCTGCTCTTTGCTACTTATATAACTTTAGGGGGTCCTGATACAGGAATGCTCCTTAGCATTGAACTTGATTCGAAACGCTTTGGCAGATGGAACTGCTTTCTTCCAGTAGTCGGACAGAGCAGTCGCGAGGCCGAGAGACCTTTGTAATCATCGTCATGGGCCAAACATGGTTTTGTATCAAGGGTGTGTCCATGCCGCCAACCACTTTGCCAAATTTCACTTTTTGCTTGGTTTCTCATCGCCTCTACTTCCACAGCCCAGCAACGAGGACCTCCTCCCCGCCAGCTCCCCGAATCGACCTGGCCTTCACATACGCCGTCATCCTATCCCCCCCTTCCTCCCCGGCAGACCCAGCCGGAGCCGCAGCAGCCACCGCACACTTCGGGACGTTGAGGTACATCAAATACGGCCCGTCGCCCGCACTCTGCCCATGGCCCTCGGCCTCCCCGCCAACAGACTCCCGATACGCCCTCCTCATCCAACCCTCCACCTCCGCAAAGGACGTCGGCGCACGCGTCGCGGGGCCAGAGACAGCGAGCCAGGAGATGGTAGAGTGCACCAGCGTCCCCGACACCAGAACATGGCCAACCCGTCTATAAAAAGGAGCATCAACCGAAGGCGCCAGGTCCGAGGACCGGTACTCGACAGACGACGAAGGCACCTTTGCAAGACCGAGGTGAGCATGCCACTCGACCCCAGCCTGGCGGGGCAGCTCCTCGACCTCAACGGAGAAGAAGGGCGGAACGGGACCCTCGGCCTCTCCGTCGTCCCCGCCTCCGTCGGCCGTCACGACGGACGACCAATCCGGGAGCTTCTGCGCCGCCGCCGCGTCCTCGCCGAGAGACATGTACGCCGGGTTAAACTTGCGATCCCACAAATCGGGCCCGCTTGCGTCGTTGTCTCCGTCCTCGTCTTCGTCGCGCTGGTGAACTGCTTTCCACGCGGCCGCGGCGAGTTGGTTTTGCCGTCTCGCATCTGCCTCCTCTGGCGTGCGCGGGAAGTATGCCACCGCGCTGGTCCAGAGCTGCACCTTCATCTCGGTGGCGATGCGCCAGAGGTGCTGAAGCGACAGTGTAATTTGCATCTCCAGCTTACCCTCCTGCTCCGTGGGTAAGATCATGCTCGCCGGGACGAGCGGGATCTGGCCTGCGATTGTCACTCCTCTGATACCGGCGTGTACCGTATCTTGACCGCCGCCCCTCAGGGGTACATCGATGGCCTGGCTGTAGGGGCCAATGTTGGCAGGCGCCCAGTACGATCTCGACTGCACGTGGAGTCCATTCCGTTCACGAGTCTCCAACGCCGGTTTTATTGTCAGGTGAATGTTGATGGCACCTCCGGCCTGTAGTTCGCCACAAGAAATGGTTACTCTGGACGGAGGATTGGGGTGCTGGAACAGTTTACTGTAGATCTTGTTGATGGCTGGGAAATCCGACATGGACTGCAAGACGATGATGGTATTGGTGATGGCCGTAGTGGGCAGCGGCGGAGAGTGTTCAGCAAGACGCTTCTGGATGTGCTGTACTATCCCCTCCGTCTGCTGCTCGACAGACGAGCCCTGGCCCGATCCCGCTTGAGCACCAAAGGACCAGTGGATATCGTCCGATCGAGATCTCGGCAGCACCGGTGTCTTGTCATCATGCTGGGTGAAGCCATTGACGGATGATGATGAGTCCGATACTGACAACTGGCCACCCCGAGCCGTGGGCAGTGACTCCAGAATAGACTGAAACCGGGGATCCAAGGCATCAGGCACCCGGGGCGGGGAGCAGCCTTCTCCCGTGCCCGCGTCAGGGACTCGCTTTTCTCGGACACTCGCCCCCTGAAAGCTCAACCACGACGTCCCGCCGCCCTCCCTTATGGTCCGCCTGCCGGACTCCGGCACCTCAATGGCCCTTTTGAACAGGCCGGGCGGGCCATCCAACACGAGCGTCTCGAACTCGCCCCCCTCGCCAATAACGGCACCCTCGGCGGCGCCAAACCGTCTGAGAGCACGCTTCACGCGCGACGCGCCCGCGATGCTGCTCACCTTCTCCCACAAGAAGTCGTCATCAAGCCCCGCGCTCGCGACCTTGATGATCCTCGCGTCGAGGCCGGCGGCCGCCATGTCGTGGAGCAGCTGGGCGTCTTCGACGGCGCCCGGAACCACCGGGGGCAGCACGGGATACTTCCACAGGTACGCCAGCGGCGTGAGGCCCAGGCGTAGCGCGACGGATTCCACGCGCGTCCGCTGGTACGTGGACAGGATGGCTCCCGCACAGAGAGCGTTGGCCTCTGGGTGGTTCGTCATGACGGTGCGGAGGAGCGGCACCATGCTTTCCGTCTCATCCGCGTCTCCGTCACCGTCACCGTCACCATTACCCGACGGTACGGCATGAGAGTCGTAGTCTCTGCCCTCGTACTTGGCACCGCCGTAGATGGGCTGGCGGTAGAGTGGCAAGCCGGTGGCGTCCGCGTAAAGGGGTATGGCCTGGTGGCCGACGGTCTGGTACATGAAACTATTCAAGTCGGCCTCGTCGTCGGCCCCTTTACCAGCCTCCTCCACCGTCTCCTCGGGCCTCTCTTCCTCTCCCGTAGACTGATCTGATAGCTGAACATCCTTCACGTGATCCCCCGTGGGCTTGTAAATGACGGTTGCTGGGGCCGAGCGCGTGGCGTCGGAGCCGGCGCTGACGGAGGCGGAGGGGAAGAGATTAGCGAGTGCCACGAGTCGGTGCCCGTTCCTCTGGCAGTGCAAGGCGGAGAAGAAACTGTCCTTACCGCCCGAGACCAGGGCAATGACATTGAGCTGTTCGGATGACATGGCAGGCAGACTTCAGCCTGGCGTCCAACGTTATGCAGGCGGACGGTAGGACTGGGGACTGGGGTTTGGGGGGGCTCGGGCGAGTACGTCTGTCCGTGTGTCTCTACGGATATATGTGTGCCTTGTGCCCGTGATCCGTGCTGTGCAGCGTGTAATTTTCTGTGCAGGCCCTCGCGATGGCGTATGCGTCCGGTCATAAAGCGTGGGAAGCCTTTGTGCACAGAGTCAATGGTCCGGAATTGACGGGCCCGGTCTGGGTCTTGCGCACCACGGAGGTATGGCGGGATGGGGACTGACAGATTCGTCTAGACCTCAAGGGGACCCTTGAATGACTAGGAGCTCCGTCTTCGGGACGTCGCGAGGCCGGGACTGCGGATAGAGGGCGATGAGTGATGAAGTGGTTTGATTCTTTGAGGTGGCACAAGACCGAGTCAGTGAGGAACCCGGTACGACGTTTTGATTTCTGACCGTGGAGGGGGAAGGAGGGGAACGCTCTCAGAAGGAAAGGAAAAAAAGGAAACCCCCCCCCCCCCCAAAAAAAAAAACCAGGCCCACTGGCCGTAGGTTCGAAATGGTGCCCAATACGGAAATCAAGAGAAAACGGTTCAACT